CATCCACACTTTCTCTACCTGCCAGAGACCTTAGAAAACACTGTTTTGTATGTTTCTGAACATCAGAGCATCTGGACAGTGGCTGCCTCACACATACTGGAAACGCTTAACGCTGTGGATGGAAAGACTTGCACACACTGTACTTCACAGCCCACAGAAAGTCCACAAAACACAAAGAGACACTTTCTTCTGTTTTTGTTGATGTGGCTGGTACTGACCTTCGTGCTGCTGCCACCAACAGATCTATACGCCTAGCACCGCAGCAGTAAAACTAACCTAATATATTTTGGGGGGGACATAAAACACTCTTAAAAACAGTGTAATTTTCCTGTAATTACACAGCTGTGATCATGGAGAATGGTGCATATTTTTAATCAGGGACAATCTGCTTTCAAACACTTGCAAAAATAAAGAGAGTAGATCGGGAAGAGGGCTAAAGTAGAGAATAGGAAAAGAAGACGAGGAAGAGATTGATATTATCAAGGGTTTTGAAACTGTGGAAGAAGAAAGAGGACAGGTTGAAACTTGATTAAAACATGGACAGGAAACATTTGTGTTGGCCGGGCTGCACGAAAATGGTCGTTCTCGAGTGCCTGGATCGGGAGGTGTCAAAGCAAATTCCTGCAGCAGAGACAGAACAAGCAGAGGACAGAAGCCCGGGGACCGAATGAATATCAATAAAGAGAGAAAAGGGCCTCACTGATAAAGCATGATAAAAGCCGAGGGAAAGATCGGACAACAGGGAGTTGTGGTCAGACAAGAACGTGTGGATTTAGTCTCAACGCTTTGACGCACTAAAACCTAAGATCTCATTCTGCGGTTTGTACGTCTGGGTTATCATGTCCTCATCCCCCTCTCACACGTGCACACACATTCCAGGAGAAAATTGTGCAGAGTGAAGTCTGTCTCTCTCTGTGGAATATACCCATTAGAAAACAAATGGAAAACTACAGGAAATTTCATAATCAGGCCACTATTAGCCCGAGGCCTTGAAATCTCGGCACGGGTCATACTAAAGGGGAACGTTTTTGGAAAACAACAGAGGAACAAAGCAATACATTGGGGATAATTAGGTGCTTATGGCAGCTTGGACACTGGATCCAGGTCTTTGGAAACTCCAAGGAGGGTTTAGGCGAGGTTAGAGGTGACAAAGCAGAACGGTAAAAACCTTTTGTGTGCTTTCTCCGACGCCCGCAGGCGTTTGGCTCTCCGCCTCTGTGGCTGTCTGCGACGATGCTAAACCCAAAACACAGTGTCCTCGTGCAACCTTTTTCCAGTCCCTTCTAACTATCATAGGATTAAAATTCAAGTGAAAATGACGGGTGCAGATTTTCATTTGCAGCAGGGAACCGTCACTAACGCCTGTCGCCGGGTGTGTTGCGGCGACGGTGGCGTAGGGAAGGCCTCGTTAAAATGGCAGCTCAGGTTTTCACATTTGCTTTACTGGAAAATGTGGCATGGAGAAGTGTGCAGGGGACAATTTGTTCCTGGGTGCTGTGTTTGTGGTTTGACAGCTGCAAGTTTGAAGAAACAACCTTAATGCAAGAAAATGGGAACGATATGTTGTAGAGGGCCGGGTTAAGACAAACTATCTGGTACCCTCAAACTGGCTTAGAAAAGATAGACAACAAAGGCAGTGGTTTATAGTGTGAGGATTTAAAGGTTGCATATTCTCCTCCTTTTCAAAATGTTTGAATAAGTCTCAGAGCTCCCCAAATCATGTCTGTGAAGGTTCTTGCCAAAAATCCACTCTGATCCTGTATTTGATCATGTCTATAAACCCCTCTATTTCAGCCCTGCTCAGAACAGGCTGTTTCTGTGTCTGTACCTTTAAATATGTAAATGAGCTGAGTCTGACCACGCCCCCTCTCTGGAAGCGCTCAGGTGGCTCTGGCTTTTCTCGCTCCATGTCCTATTGTTTACGGTGAGAAGGCAGATTCAGAGGAAAGAACAAACACCTAGCTGTGGGAGTGTCACCCACCTGGGGGAGGGGTTACTGCCCTTTGTGATGTCATGAAGGGAATATCTCCAAACGGCCTGTTTGAGCACACATTTTCTGAAAAGTGGAGCAGGGAAAAGACGGAGAGGATGGACTTTTCTCATCATTGGGGGGTTTGTAGACAGAATAGAGACACATAAGTTACTGTGAGTGAAAGTAAGAGAGAGAGAGAGAGAGTGAGTGGTCGAGGGAATGACACTAAGAAAAATTAGTATGAATGAGACGTTAGTGAAGTCAGTTCGCCCAGGAGTTAACTGATGTTTGATTGTTTGATTTGAACTATCTATCATATTATAAAATGTTGGTATCATACCGCTCTAGTGCATTGTTACTTCTTAGTCAGTTTTGAATGTTTTTTTTGTAATGACTGATAAAAATCAAATGTGGGCGGGTTGAGTTGCCCTTTCTCTGCTTGAGCCCCTCCCCCTTTTAAATTCTTCTTCACATCCCTGCTACTAAATATACTTTTCGAGAGAATTTGCTTCTCTTTTGAAGAGAACCAATCATCTACACCTGAACTCTTTAAAGGCTCAGAAGGCCTTAGCTGTTTGTTTGGTCAACTTAAGCGAGCCCCCGGAGGCTGCACAGCTAGAAAATCCAGACGCTCTGCTCTCTTTTAATGCCTCATGAACCGCCAAGCCTGTGTCATCACATCCACTGCCAGGCGAGGCCTATACCTCAATCTGGACCCAAGACTCGAGACAGGTTCAGCGCTAATACGCCGACGTGCACATGGTCTTTCTCTGAAGTAAACACACTGTTTGCCCTGAAGAGAAGTTTTGGTTTCATCGTTTAATGACTTTGCTATTCCCTGCTAATGTTTTACATATGAGATAGAGATTGCTCCCATTTCCCCAGAATCAAAAGCGAGCATCCATCTTCTCTCCCTGACTCACTTTGCTGCCCTCTGATTTCCCCCCTCAAATCTTTTTACGCTCAATCATTCAGTCTGATTTCCTCAGACAAGTCAATTACACTGGCCTGGGCCCATTTGTTTTTTGATCAAAATATTACAGAATGGAGTTTATGAGTCATAAGAAACGTCTTTCAACTCAATCCTATTAGTCACCTTGTTTCTTGACGGCTTCTTGCAAAAAAAAACAACGTCTGAGTGAAGAGAGAAAACAGAGCAACACATGTTTGCATACCAGGACAGTGTGTGTGCAAGACCTAACACAATACCTTACACACACATATTTCCTGAGCCCTTTGTGTTCAGTTAGGTTTCAATAAACTCTCATTGATCCTGGAGAGTTCTGCAAAAATTCACCTTTTCTTTCCTCTTGTGCTTTCAGAAACCACAGAGCATGGATCAAGTAAATGTGACAAGTAAGTCGACCTTCTCCTTCCAGATGACGTCCTGTGTTTCTTTCATTACAAGCCGAACTTGACCTCTAACTTATCCCTCTCTCTCTGTTTTGTTCTTTCCTCCCCGTGTTCGCACGTTTATCGCTGATCATCAGCAGCAGCGGTGGCGTCGTCGCCGTGCAGAAGGAGAGGGTGAAGGGCAAAGACGAGACGTACTGGAGGGAGATCAACGCCGCTATGGCCTTGACCAACTTGGCGCAGGGGAAGGACAGCGCCTCCGGAACAACCAGCTGCATCATCCAGAAGTCCTCCCATATAGCAGAGATTAAGACTGTCAAAGTGCCGCTGGTGCAGAAATATTAGCCCCCTTGACGTCACTCTCCCTTCTCTCTATGCAAAACCAGCAAACGTTCCTGCTCCAGCGAAACTCGCCGGAGTCCAAATAAACTCCCCCGCTTCAGAGAAAGAGAGGAGAACTGTTGTTTAAGGAGGAAGTGAGAACAGAAAGAGAACTCTTATTCTTTTTGTCGTCTGATGAAGTGCAAACAGAGGCCTTGACCATCGTTATTTTTTGCTGGCTTGATTTGACAGACAAGCGTTGACGGTGCAGTATTTCCTAAAAAAAGACACTTTTGTAATGTTAACTTATTTTTGTGATTCTTTTTTTTATTTCCTCTTTTTTATTCTACAAAATGTGTATTTTGCCAAAGTGCCTTTCTTATTTGTTAGATGAACAACTCTGACTGTGGTCGATGCAAATGATGTGCCTCCTCGACTAAGTTTAGAGTCACAGCCGTGAAAACATCCTGTGCCTTCATGAAGGAATGAGCTCACTATTACAGCCGTTGATGAAGTGAAACAGCATGCACACACTCACAGAACACACACCCAGCCGTGTTTCCCTGAAGACATTGTGCTTGTTTTGACTGGAGTCTTCACTTTTTGACCGTAAACAGAACATTGTTTTTGTCTCGGCCGGCCTCGCTCTGAGCTGCAGCTGAAAAGCAGCCAGCGTGCTCCACCTTGTCCACATCTCGGCCTTGGATTCCATCAACCAGCGAAGGATTTCTTTCTTATCAGTGTTTTTTTTAATGGCTGAAACGTGCACAAGCGCTCAGCTGGACCCCGATGAAGTCACATACTGGAACCCACGTAGATGTAAATACGTGCTTTAAGGTTCAGCTCAGTATCTCTTCAGATGGAAGAATTCCATGACCTAAAAGGGATGTTTTTGCTTTGCGTTATCAGTTGTTTTTTTGTTTTTTTTACTCATTTGTTGCCTTCTCACATGTTTGTGCTCAGAGTGAACGAGAGAAGGAACGCCACCATCAGCTCCGCATGCCGTTTGATCCTCAGCCCTCTCAGCTGTTTAGCATTACATTCAAATTACTGTTTACAAGAAGCCAGAGGAGAGACTTAAACGTCTGATTTTCTCCCCCCCCCTTACTCTTCTTTTGTTTCTTGGTTTGCCTTCAAAAATACATTCCAGTATTATGTATGTGTCGGCCAAGCAAGTGTTCAGAGTATTTGTTACTGTCAGTGTGTATATGTGTGATCGTTTTCTTTTTAATCAGAACTTTTGTACTTGCTTTCACTCAACCGTGCAGCATTAAGAGTTCCTCTCGTCATCTGATGGAAAGAATCTCTGACGCAGAAAGTACTTGTGCACATGTTAGAAACGTTTGCAGCAAAGGAAGCCGAGTTCACAAAGCGGGAGAAAAAGAAGACAAACTTGTGGGAGAAACTGAAGTTGGCGCTCTTGTGCTGACTTCTAAATGTTATGTATATCTTCAAGGTACTGTTTATGTGTGTCAACATGTACACTCCTTTATAAGTTGTGTAGTTTGTTTCTTTTTTTTTTTTTTTTTTCCTGACAACCCAGACTGTTCTTCTGGTCAAAGACTTTGAAGGAGCTGCACAAACACAGACTCTTTGACCCTTTTATGTGTCTTGAATGTGCAAACAGCTTTTTAAAAGCTGCACTTAATTCTTATTTTTTTTCTACCAGAAAACACAGCCTCCATTGAGACGTTTTGTTCAAAGTGAAGTTAAAGAGATGAAGGACAAGCCTATATTATTCCTCTTAGCGTGCCTATGGATGTAAAATGAAATCAATCGCACTAGCCAATCCCCAGGCACTATTTGCTTATGCAGCGGGGGTTTTTGGGCTCCCACATGTGTTTTTTATACACCTGATCCAGGCAGGGTAGCTGCAGGGTAGTGCCGGGCCGGCTGCCTTGTGTTTCTAATCGCACCTCTGAACCTCTGGACCACTCGAGACCTTCACACCTCACACGATACCTGCTCGCTGGAAGGAGAAGAAGAAGGAGCAAGTGGCGGCGTCTTTTGTTGATCCTACCTGCAGACACTCCCGACAATGACACAACGAGTACGAACAAAGAAGTTTTCCGCAGACTTTGGTACTGTACACGTCTTTCACCATGCTGACAAATGGAAAGTCATGGTTTGTATTAAAGCCTATAAATTATTATTATGGACTTTGTAAAGACAAAGAAAGTTTGTTTTTTTATTGTTAAGTTATATAAATTGAGATTTTTTCTTTTTGTCTGTTTTGATAGAGACTGGATTTTCAATCCAATGACCAAATGCATATCTCTTTGTTGCTCTCATGTAAAATTTCTTTTATAAAAACAGATGTTTGGTGGTCAAAGCAATGAATAAACCTCTGATGAAATGAAAGGATTCTTCTTTTATTCATTTCTCATTATTTAATTTTACAAGCTTTTACTGGTTCAACGTTGGCATTTTATCCTCTGACAAATAATATTAGAACACAAACTGGTTGAAAACATCACAACTTGGCCTTACTCCGACAGCTTAAACTGCCTTGTGAAAAGCATGTCAAGCTTTTAGGTGATTCAAGGCTTATCTGACGGGGGGGGGGGGGTTTCTTTACTATTTAAAGAGGACATAGTATACCCCTTTTCCACCTTTTCAAACAGTCAATGTCTGGCTACCATTCAGTGCAGGGCGACAAGATATATACAAAAATACTAATTTTCAAAAATCCTTAATGAATACAAACTCTGCAGAGCTGAGAGATTTTCAAACTCCTTTCGCACTGCATCCTTTTTAATATTAAAATACAAAACAAATGCTGCCTTGAAGACCAATTTAGGTTGGGGAGAGGGGAGGGTCGAAGGCAGCCAAAAGAGGAGACAATGAGATGATAGCTTCCAGATGTGTGGAGGGACACCTACAATTCATTTAGCAGACGGTTTTATCCAAAGCGACATACAGTACATCAGAGAGTAAGTACATCTCAAGCAAGGATCTAGAGAGGAGGAGACAACATCAGGAAGTGCATACAAACCGCTTAAAGTCTGATCAGACACACACGAGCTGACAGGAAGTGACCAGAGTTAGAGCACAGAGTTAATATATCTTCATTTACAACTACATGGACGGGTGGTCTGGAGAGTATTAATCACAATCAAAACCATCCTGAATATCTTCATTATCAAAATCATCGTCATCATTATCAGTAAGTATTCCTTTTTATTCTGATCCCCATTAGCTGTCACAAAAGTCAGAACCAACATAACAAACAAAGTATACATAAAAAATACATCCTATAAAATGGAGTAAAAAATGTTGTATATAATACAACAAGCATATCAAAGAAGACACATAATGCACATAAAAGAGTATGTATCTGTTCCTATAAACTAGTTTAAAGTAACGTAACATTACATCACACAAAATGACGAGCAATCATAGTCATCCTCTTAATTCAGTAATGTCATTAACCTGTGTGCTCTCTTTGTTCACTCACAAACAGGGAGTGAGTGTGTTCATCGTTTCAAAGGGAAGACACATCACAAATGCACAGACGCAAATGTTGCCCCGTTTGAGCTCTGAAAGTTTCTCTTTGTTGCTGTCACCAGGCTGAAATCTTAATTCTAACCATCGGCCACATCTTGACACGGAGCACAATACAGAGGATGTTTGTTTGGGGCACACAAGGCGGGGTGGTTTTTTAAGAGCTAAACAAACTAATCATGACAAACCATAGGAAGAGCTGAATGTATACAGCAGTGATCTGCATCAACCACATCCCACACATTAGTGGTTTGGGCCCCAGCGTCTCCTCTCTGCTGTGTATTTTTGCTACCTTAAGAAGGATGTTGAAAGTTTTGCTTTATTTGTTTGACCCGGGATCAGATTCAAATCTGTCTCTGCAGAGGTCAAGAGGGCACCAGTGGCAAGAGATAAACGGTTTTAAGTAAAGATTTTATAAAGTTTGGGTTTTTCTATATCCGCTGTCGTGTTGTGGATACGTCTGTACATATAATTTACCACTTGTGGTATTTGGGATCCTGTATGATAGCGCCATTGGACAGCCGGGCCTTTGTGCAATTTATGAGTCTGTGGGTATCTAAAGGAGGCCAGGGGAAGACTGAATTTATGTCTCATATGTCTAGGTGTGTCTTGTTGCCTCAAGGCTCAGTCCTCTTTCTCTTCCCCGTGTATTAATGGCTCTACCATGCCACCACCGCTCCTTCTGAACCTGAGCTGTGCCACAAAGCCGAGGCTGAGACCCCTCTTACGTCAGGAGAGACAGAACCAGAAAGAAATTACAGCTCACAAGACTGCATGAAGAGATTTAAGAGTATATGTCTCGCAACATTTTAACCTTAAGAAAAAGACGTAATAACCTCACAAGTTTAAATACAAATATTTAGAAATGTGGAATTGTTTTATGTAACAGTGTGTCTTCTCTCCGCCCAGTTGATCAAAACTCTCGTGCCCTCCGACCCTCTTGACTCCAGTGACGTCGTGCTGGAGGTCGTATCAGGACGAACAACAGGAGGTACAAAATCAGCTCGGCAGATTTACTCGACCCGCACTATAGACTTGACTTAAATAATCTTTTGAATGTTTCAGGTGACATCTGTCAGCAGTTCACCAGTGAAATGTTCGACATGTACGAGGGCTTTGCCTCTTACAAGAACTGGCACTTTGACCTTTTAAACTACACGTCTGCTGAGTATGGTTAGTCATTTTCTGTATTTTCATCCTCTGAGTTTATGTGAAAATTGGTCTCTCAAAAACTTTTGAACAAGACTTATATTGTGAGTTAGCTGATAATGTGTGTGTAAGTTTCCAGTGTTGAAAATATTTCTCAAACATGGTTGTTTCTAGCTTGTTATTTACTTCCATTTTTATTTATTGCCACTGAAAACAGAGCTGTGGATAATGGATGACGTGTGTGTGCATATGACCAGGGAATAGTTTGACTAATCAAAGAGGGATGTAGCTAATAACACCATAAGTTTCTGTGTTGCATTGTAATAAAATAAGAACAGAGCTGTCATAAAACCTGTTTTAAATGCATCGTGTCAAATCAAATCACCAGGAAAAGGCACTTAATACAAGTGAAAACCAGACAAGAAGCATTGGTGTCTGATCCCACATATAGATCACATATATTGTAGTGTAAACACTGATCCATCCTGATGGCATTGTAAAGATTTTGGAAGCTGTTTCCACTTCTCAAACTACAACTGCATGTATTTGACTGTGCCTCTGTCTCAGGCGGTTTGCACCATGCAGCAGTAAGAATAGCCGGGGAGAATGTGTACAGACATCTGAAGCATGAAGGAGGAACACACAGGGTGCAGAGGATCCCTGAGGTGGGCCTGTCCTCCAGGATGCAGCGTATTCACACAGGAACCATGACTGTTATAATCCTGCCTCAGCCCGTGGAGGTAAAATCTGCAACTTATTTTGTGTTTTATAAGCATGATTAAAAGTCTTCATTTCTGGTCTGGCTGGTTTTTGTTCACAGTTTGACATCCAAATTGACCCAAAGGATCTTCGCATCGACACGTTCAGATCTCGAGGGGCCGGAGGTCAAAGTGTCAACACAACAGACAGTGCAGTGCGCATCGTTCATCTTCCCACTGGTAAAACTGAACAGCTCCAAGCGGCATCGCCCCAGAATCAGTTCTGTTTCTATTCATCCAAACATCAGTTGTTGTGTCTCTCTCCATTGAAAAGGTGTAACAGCCGAATGCCAGCAGACTCGCTCTCAGCTGCAGAACAGAGACACGGCCATGCGTGTGCTGAAGGCTCGGCTCTACCAGAGCATGATGGGTAAAGAGACAGAGCAGAGGCATACAGCAAGAAAGCAGCAGGCTAGTGAACTTCCTTCTTCAAAGGGAAACGTTTGTGATAATCACATTTTAACGTTTAATTCAATCTTATCGATTTACTCCTTTTTGTTTTCTGACTCCAGGTGGGCACTCGTTCTCAGTCGGAGAGGATTCGCACCTACAACTTCAGCCAAGATCGTGTCACAGACCACAGGACTGGATATGTCACTCGAGATATCAAGGTAGAATCTGCATGCATCATAAACACGTTAGATTTATGTTTCTTTTACAGGAAAAAAAACACAATAAATTGCATTTTTAGTCAGGTTCTTTTATTCCACACTTTTCTTAATTCGATGTGTTTTGGTCCATGTTCAGGAGTTCATGAGAGGAGGCGAGGCTCTCCATGATCTGATCTCTGACGTCCGTGAACACGCAGAGAGGGAGGCGCTTATAGAGATGGTGGAGAGCTGCAGCAGCAGCAATCTAAACTCACAAAGGCCTGGAAACCCCTCAGAGTAACATGCAGGCAGTTGACTATCAAATGCACAGAAAAAAGCAATTATTCATTTTTGGGCTGTTCTATTTATTTTGACAGTAGTGCTATTTATGCTTTAAGCTATTTAAGACCAACTGCAGCTCAATCAGATGTCATTTGAGATGTTTATTTTTGGTAATAAAATGTTAAACTCATGCAGTTTGTTTTTGTTTTGTTAGAAATTTAAATCATGAGGATGAGTCACTGTTAAAGGATGCAATTGCAGTTTTTAATCTGTGATGTGTTGACGGTAAACACACTCTGGAGCTGTTTTTTAATAGTTACCTACCATTATGCTGGTTTTCTGCCAATTAGGGTGTGAACCCACCTATCAGCTTCATCCACACACTCACCAAAAACATGTCACACCCTGCATGAGTGTGTTTGTGCCAGCTGATTGACAGCCTTCACTTCTTTCGCTTTAGAGTACGTCTAAAATCAATCCTGATAATTTGTGTATTATCTGTGGTTGAATAGAAATAACCTCACTGACAAAGTTAAATATTTTAGAACCTGGACATCACGTTACCAATCTTTATTATCTTCTATCCAAACTGCTTGATGAAAGTAAGACATTAGAACTGATAGATATTGTAATTATGCTCACACAAAGATTCCCCACCGCATTTTCACAACTTCCAATGGTAAAAAAATACAGTTATGAAAAATAAAAAATATATTTTTTTAAATCTAACCTCGACATACTATGGGGGCAGAAATTCATGAAATGATCAAACAATTTTGTACACATGAAATAAGAATGTAAAACGGGTTGCACACCTTCCCCATGACAAAGAAAAAGAAATGGATTGTGGGGAGTGGTGGACATTTTTTAGGATAAGAAATTCCTCCTTTGATAAGTTTCTCGGGCCAATATGTCAGAAACTGTTTACACGACTGAATGATATTTGTGCTTCTTGAGTAAAAATACAAATGTTGCATTAAGATGTCCCAAGAGTTCCTGAAACAGTCACATTTGTTTGAGTCTTGTTCTGGTTGGAGGTTGACATGTGTCCCAGTCAGTCGTCATTGTCTCTCTGTCGGATGCTCCTGGATTTGCCGTTTTGTGTCTTGTTTTTCCTGAAGGAAGTCGATCCTCCCTCCTCTCCCAGGGAGGTGATAATGCGTTCCTTGAATTTGGGTTTTGGCTCTGGGGGCAGCACGGAAGGAGCGCTGACTGTGCCTCCCTCCCATTGGGGCAGCTGCAGGTCCACATTGGCACTTAAGAGGAAAGAGGAGGAAAAGTTAAAGCTTTTTTTTTTTTTTTTACAGTCTTTGTTGCAAATGAATCAGTAGATCAACCTTAAATTACTTACTATGGATCCTTCTCTTCCTGGATCTGTTCCCAGACCCCGTATGGAGTGGCGGCTTTCGGCCTTTTAGCCGGTGTCACCCTTAGTGTCACCTTTTGTGCCACCTCTTCCTCTTTCTTCCCCTCAGGTTCAGCAGTTGTGCTCGAGACCTCTTCCTCTTTCTTAGTCTCCTCAGCATCCTTTTTAGCAGCATCGTCATCACTTACTTTTTCCTCCTCGCCCTCCTTTTCTGAGGACTCGGCTTCTGCTTGCCTTTTCTGGAAACAAAAGCAAAATGAAACCAATAATGTGTCAAAGAATGATCCTTCACTCCCTCATTCCTTGGACAACTCCTCTTACCCTGAAGCTGATCTTTGGGACACTCTGCTGCTGGCCGGTCTGTTCCGGGACCTCAGGCTCCTGTGCTGTTGAGGTCCCGTTGGAGCTCTCCTTCTCCTCCTCTTCCCCTGACGGAGGCTCTGGCTGAGGAGTTGAAGGCTCCTTCTGTCTCTCTCCCTCCCAGTTAGACTCGGTTCCAGGCGGCACAATGGAAGGAAAGTCTCCTGGTTTCTCCCAGCTGGACTCTGTGTGGTGAGGAAGATAAGAGCACATGATCATCAGACAGTTTATTCAAGAGAGGGGAAAAAGAAATGTAGTCGTTATTAAAATAAGAAAAACAAATATTTGACCTCCTGTTTCTGTGTTGTAGTAATATGTGTAACCTTCAGGACTGAAAGCTTCCATCCAAGTACCAGCTGAAGAGCTCTAAAGAAAGAGCAGACAATTGTTACCAGGCGTCACATTTAGTTTGAAATAACTAGAAAGCTCTGAATTTAATTAATGATTAACCTTCATCTGTGCAGGCTGTGCAGAGGTGGAACAATGTCCCTGGAAACCCTCTGGTGTTTCCCACCGAGATTCTGAAATGTAAACACATAGACAAGATCAGCTTTCAGAGGAAGAGTCTGTTGGACAAACACAAAGTAGAGGAAAGTGTTGGTGAGTCCCACCTCCAGTTACTGAGTTGTAATAGTACGTGTGTCCATCATCTGACTGCCCTTCCACCCAGACTGGCTCTTGGTTCCGTTCTCTGAACATCTTGCTCGCTTTCTCTTTTTTCTGTTGTTTTTTAGGTTTCGCTTGAGGCGGCGGCTTTCTTGGGACTGTTGTCGTCGGAGCTGGAGGACTTACTCCTATCACAAAAACGCATCACGTCAAGCCTCAGCGTCGCGCGCAGAAAAAAAAAACGTGTTCATGAATGTGAGAAGTTACCTGCCGCCTCCATTTCCATCCTCTTCAGATCTTCCTGGTACGCCTTCATTGCAGCTTCCTCCATTGCTGCAAACTGTTTGGAATTTTTTTCGTCCTGCTTGGCCTTGTCGAGGCTCTTCTTTTTAATCTGCAGAGAGAACGACAGGATGATTGGCAGCATGTGGCAGCCAATAAGAGGGCAGCTTTAGGGATGAGTGTTGTGTTAGAACCTTATCTCTCCTGCCAGTCCTGAGATGAGTGCCAAAGAATATCAAGTTTGTGAGTAATTAGTTCTCTTACCCGTGTGTGTCATGTGCTCTTTAATGACTGTGTGTGTGTGTGTGTGTGTGTGTGTGTGATTGCAATAATTGCTTATACCTCAGAGATTTTTGCAGCCACATTTTCTTTGTGGTTTTTCCCTCTTTCATGGAACTCAACACTCTGCAAAACAAAAACAGAGACACATGAAGAAACTTCTGATGAGTGAGTTAAACATTAAAGTGTATCCTGTGCAGGACTTACAGGCTTATTATCCGCAATCCAGCACTTGCAGTACTGACAGAATTTCCTTGGTTGTGACTTCCAGTAGTCAGCCCTGCAAAGAAGAAGAAACTCAAATGACCTCACTGTTTCAGAGCATGTTTAGCCTGCGAAGCTAACGCAACAACAGAGCAGAAATCCTGCTTATTGTGGGAAAAAACAACGTGTTGTACATCAGAACGAACACAATAGGCCACTGAGTGTTTGCAGTACTTACATTTTTATTAGTTTCGGTGGTTAAAATGCGAAGAAGAACTCAAAACGGACCAAAATGAAGTAGAGCCGCTTTGCACATTTCAAGAGTGACAACACTGTCTCTTTGTGATGATGTCATCGCGAGTCGACGTTTTCTGACTGTCGGGGTTGAAAACATTAAAATAAGATTACAAATAAAATAAAAAAAGATCATGTACAAATGTGTAAAAGAAAATGTAACCTTTTTCTAAAAGAAAAGAAAATCCACTTCTATCCCACATGTTTGGTCTCTGTGTATTGTAAAAGAAGCCATGTTTATAATTCTACAGAATACACTTTTGTCAATAGCTGATATATTTTATATTTTTTAAATCTATTTTTTAGTATCTATTTTATATTTTTTAAATCTATTTTTTAGTATCTATTTTTTTTAAATCTATTTTTTAGTATCTATTTTTTTAATCTATTTTTTAGTATCTATTTTTTAGTATCTATATTTTAAATCTATTTTTTTAAATCAATTTTTTAGTATCTATTTTTTATTTTCTAAATCTATTTTTTAGTATCAATTTTTTATTTTTTAAATCTATTTTTTAATATCTATTTTTTATTATCTATTTTTTAGTATCGATTTTTTATTTTTTAAATCGATTTTTTAATATCTATTTTTTGGTATCTATTTTTTAGCATCGATTTTTTATTTTTTAAATCTATTTTTTAATATCTATTTTTTGGTATCTATTTTTTATTTTCTAAATCTATTTTTATTATCTATTTTTCATTATCTATTTTTTAGTATCTATTTTTTTTTTTAAATCTAGTCATGTGTCTATACTGCCCCCCAATGGACAAATGTGGAACTACATTTGTGTTTTAAAAAACATTTTTTCTCACTTTTGAGAGTGAGGGGGCGGGAGACATTGCCATGGTAACAGCAAGCTCAGCCAATCAGAGATGTCGTTGTGACACTCGTGGGTCATGGGTTGTGAAGTTTTTTTCAAAGAGATATTAAAGATATTATAAAGAGATTGTTTCATACTGGGGTAGCTCGAGGTCAGTGTACCTTGGATGGTTATTATATTACAGCCAAAAATCAAATCCACTGTTGGAGAAAATGAAGGAGATTTTTACTTCCAGCTCCTCACTGTTGAGCTCTATGACTCTATATATGTTCAAAAACACTCTAGAAGAGGATTTTTCATAATATGTCCCCTTTAAATGTTTTGACTTTTAACCTCATACTTTCGACTTATTATGAGCAAAAAAATAATTCTCAACAAAGTCAAGTTTTCATTTTGATTTTTTCAACTGGCGGAAATGGGCTTCCATAGTTTGCAATGAAGACAAGAAGAAAACATTTAGTTCATGTGAGTTTATTCAGGATGTAAAACTTCAGTTTGTTCACACATCAAATCAGTAAAGTGTGTTCAATCATTTCATGAACACATTCACTTCATCCACACAATCACTTTGTTTGATCAGAATCTCCACTCACAGAAAACAATGATTTATCTCCTTATTGATTTAATCAGGAGGATTACATTTTTAAAACACCTCAGAGGACATTTTTACATCACTTTGAATATGAACAACAACATTTATTCTGACTAACTCATTTCTTTAAGTGTGATTTTATAGATTTTCTACAAATGTACAAAGTGGTGAGAAGAGAAAATCAGCATAAAAGGAAAGTTTGCTGCTCTCTCTCTCTCTTCAGACTCCTGAATCAGAACAGAAACAACAGAAAATATAAATGTATGAAAACAAATCATCAAACATGGAGAGTGGAGAGAAGTTGATATTTATCACTCAGAGAAATGTCAGTTCAGGTGAACAAAAGTCATCCTGAGCAGTGAAAGAGTCCACGGCTAAACAGACACAGGAAGGAGTGTCACTTAAAGACACTCAAACATTTACAGAACAGACGAGAAGCGGCCAAAGTACCGCCCATAAAGTTTGACTGACAGGTGACCACGATCAGATCTCAGCAACGAGCGTGGATAAAAATCAAGTTGAAGATTTAAAACACAGCAAGTTAAACATCTGTCTCGTTAATGATTTCTGTCTATTTCAGTTTACACAACTCAGCAGAGTCTCCAACATAAACAAACCAGAGTCCAGCATGTAGAGGCTGAGTGAATGTGGTCTGGACTCTGTGGAGGAGAGTCATGGTTTCAGAGATGCTGTAGAAGGACAGAATACCTGCTCTGTGATCCAGGTACACTCCTACTCTGGAGGACCGAGGACCTGAGACAGGAGTGATGACTTTGTTGTAATAAAAGTTATAACTGTTGTTGAAACACTCTAACACCCAAGATTTGTCATTACGTCCAAATCTACACTCACTCCCTGTTCTGCTGATATTCTTGTATGTGACTGCTACACAAACTATTCCTCTCTTCTCCACTTCCCAGTAACAACGTTCACTCAGACTCTCTTTACTCAGGACCTGCCACCAATCAGTGAATCTGTCTGGGTGACTAGAATAAGGTTGGTTCTGACCCGTTAATGTTACTTTTCTGTTCCCATCAGATAATAACAGCTGTGTGTGTGCTGTGTTTGGATCCAGTGTGATGTCACATGAATATTGTAAGAACTCAGCTCTGGTCTTGGGCTCTGGTTCTGACAGTAAAACATCCACTTCATTCACTGTCTGTGAGATGTTTGTCCATTTCTCTCTCAGGACGTCCTGTAGTTTATCTCTGACTTCTGACACAGCCGCTGTCACGTCCTCAAAGTACCTCAGAGGACGGATCTTGATGCTGGATGAGCGTGTAGATTCACTGAGTGGTGACAGTGAGGGGTAGTCGTGTAGAAACTGGTTGTGGTCCTGTGTGTGTGACAGCTTCTTCATCTCAGCGTCTCTCCTCTTCAGCTCAGTGATCTCCTGCTCCAGCTTCTCCTGAATCTCTCTGACTCGACTCACTTCAGTTTGCTGCTGGGATCTGACCTGCTGCTTCACATCAGAGCGTCTTTTCACCATGAGACGGATCAGCTCAGTGAACATCTTCTCACTGTTCCCCACTGTTTTATCAGCGGAGCCATTGATAGCCTCCACCTCCTGTTGGAGCAGCTTCACATCTTTCTCTCTGTCCTGGATTCTCTGCTGGATGTTTTGTCGACTCACCTCCAGCTCTCTCTGCTTCTCGCTCCTTTCTGCTGCAGCTGAGACTGTGTCATGACCTTTGTGTTCGTCCTCACGGCAGAGATAACAGATAGACTGCTGATCAGTGCGACAGAACATCTTCATCACCTCATCATGACGAGAGCAGACGTTCTCCTGGAGCTTCTTGGAGGGCTCCACCAGCTTGTGTTTCTTTAATGGAGGTGCTGCATAATGAGGCTGGAGGTGTTTCTCACAGTAAGAAGCCAGACACTGCAGACAGGACTTACAGGCTTTCAGTTTTCTCCCGGTGCAGACATCACAGGCCACATCTTCAGATCCAGCATAGCAGTGATCAGCAGGAGCAGCTTGGAGTCCAGTCTTCTTCAGCTCCTCCACTAAATCTGCCAACATGGTGTTTTTCCTCAGGTCAGGCCTCGCTGTGAAGGTCTGTCTACACTGAGGGCAGCTGTAGACTGTCTTCTCATCCTCTTTATCCCAGTGGCTTTTAATACACTTCATGCAGTAACTGTGTCCACAGGTAAGAGTCCCCGGATCCTTCAGGAGATACAGACAGATCGAACAAGAGAAGGTTTCCCGGTCCAGCTGAACTCCTTTCTGCGCCATTTCTCCTCTCGGTAACAACGACTGTCTGAGATTCACTTCCTCATAACTGAAAACAAGTTTCACCTTTGATCAACAAAGCATGTGGATGTGCATGTGACTGTGCAGGTGTTGTTGGTTACACCCATCCTCAAACTGTAGATCTAAAGGGGAGGGAACCATGAAGTATGAGGACAGAGTGCAGCAGGCTGTGAGCAGGAAGAAGAGGGAGGGCTGATCGAACTACGATTCATTCCAGGAAGAGGAGCGGTTTGAGAGAGATACTGCAGAGCATCATCTCTGTGTTGTAAGACTTATGCAGACCACAAACAAAGGACTGGATGGGTTTATTTCACATGTTGTGGGTCAGTAGACGCTCAGGTTACCTAAATATATGTTCAAAAACACTGTACACGTGGATTTTTCATAATATGTCCCCTTTAAATGTTTTGATTTTTAACCTCATAATTTCGATTTATTATGAGCAAAAAAAAGATTCTCAACGAAGCCAAGTTTTAATTTTAAATTTTTCAACTGGCTGGAATGGGCTTCCATAGTTTTTTTTTAACGTTTCTCCCTGAGTCAGCTTCTACAAAAAAGTTAAAATTATATATAGAATAGCATTATAAGAAAAAAAAGAGAAGAAAGGTACAAATAAAAAATGAAAAAATAATAATAAATAAGTTGTAGTAACAGCTAAGTAAATTAAAATAAATTGTACAGAAGTTATAAACTGTATTAAAGCTAATATATAATACAAGAAAATAACAAAGGGGAACACTGTACAATGAAATGAAAATATAAATATGTTTTCTTGTCTCTACTTTCTACATCTTTTATTGCACCTGAGGTTATTGCACACATATTTTTCACATTATATAATTATTATATAAGAATATCATGACTAGAGTTGTCAGGATGTTTAAACTTTGACACGATTCCAGTAAAAATCAGACGATATCTAAACCCGCTTCAATCAAAAAAGGCATCAGAAGTAGAAGTGCTAGACATCCAATGTTAGATAATAAAAATTAAAAAAAAGAAGTAGGGATGAAAAACTCAGCCGATTCTTTTGTCTGACTCTTCTCCTCTGCTCCTAAACGTCTCACGTTCAGAGTTCAGGCATAGGAAGAAGAAGTCAGATCTCTTCCTTACTATCTTAAAACCACCATGTTTGTTACTCTGACATTAAGACAGAGCATGTTGACGTCTTTTCATAAAGCCTGTGGGGAAACAGAGGAGAAGAATACAACTGCAGGTCTTTAACATGAAGCTCACAGATATCCAGGTGAAGGAGGGGGAGGGGCTGCAGACTGACGCTGACACACCCCGACTATGGATCAGATTTAATCCCCCTCAGCAGATACAAGCCCCGCCCTGAAAACATGGATACCTGTTACGTTCCCCGTACGTTCCCCGTAGTTCTAGGGGA